GAGGAGGAGGAGGAGGAGGAGGAGGAGGAGGAGGAGACTGGATTTATACCCCGCCCTTCATTGGATTTACACCCTGCCCTTCACTACCCAAAGGAGACTCAGAGCGGCTTACAAACGCCTTTCCCTTCCCCTCCCCACAACAGACACCCTGTGAGGTAGGTGGGGCTGAGGGAGCTCTTGACAGAAACGGATCTTTTTCAAGGACAGCTCTGACAGAACTGTGGCTTGCCCAAGATCATCCAGCCAGGTGCAAGTGGAGGAGTGGGGAACGAAACCCGGTTCTCCCAGATTAGAGTCCACGCACTTAACCACGACACCAAACTGGCTCTTCCCTCCTGTCAACCCTCCTGTCAGAGTCCCACAGTAATCAGTCTCAACAACGTTCCTTCAGAAGGATCAAGTTTATTGAGCACAGTAAAGGCAGGTCATCTGTCCGCACATTCAGTGTTAGATCTCACTCCAAAGGCAGGAAAGGGGGGAAGAAATACAGGATTCAAACTGGGGTCCCTTGATGGAATTGAGCCAGTCAGAGGATGAACTGCAACGCTCCTAAACTAAGGGGTTCACATTCCCAGCTAAGCAACAGGAGCGAGGTACCAAGGTCACTAGTCCAGGCTAAGAGATAAGACACAGGAAAGAAATGAAAGTGAACATTCCAGCACATTAAGATCTTCACCCAGCCGCCTCCTGCCTCCCCCCACCTATAATGGCAGCGTAGCCGACACCTCCAAAGCAGCCATTTCCTCCAGGGGGACTGGTCTCCTTAATTTGGAGATCAACTGAAATCCTGGGAAATTTCCAGTCATCACCTGGAGGCTGTCTAAACTGAATATACACACCGTGAGGAGTGACGACAATTACAATTTGTACGAACAATTAAATTTATATTACAAATATCTCACATTCTACATACCAAAAAATCCAGTAATCTTTCAGTGTCCTCTTATAAAGAGCTGGTCCAGTGACATCCATTCATTCAACAGGTGAACGTCACACATTCCAGTCATCAAGTTTGGTGTCATGGTTAAGTGTGCGGACTCTAATCTGGGAGAACCGGGTTTGATTCCCCCACGCCTCCACTTGCACCTGCTGATGTGACCTTGGGTCAGTCACAAGCTCTGTCAGAGCTCTTTGAAAAAGAGCCGTTTCTGTCAGAGCTCTCTCAGCCCCACCCACCTCACAGGGTGTCTGTTGTCGGGAGGGGAAGGGAAAGGAGTTTGTCAGCCGCTCTGAGACACTTTTGGGTAGTGAAGGGCGGGGTATCAATCCAATCTCTTCTTCTTCTTCTTTTACCTCACAGGGTGTCTGTTGTGGGGAGGGGAAGGGAAAGGAGTCTGTAAGCCACTCTGAGACTCCTCTGGGTAGTGAAGGGCGGGATATAAATCCAATCTCTTCTCCTCTTCTTCTTCTTTGTTGTGATTTGATCTTGTTGAAAGGTCCTCAGGCGACTCGGATTCCATTCTGTGCTTCCATAAAGTTCCCAAACACAACTCCAAAATTCACAAACACACCTTCAGCAGGCTAGCTTTAATGCCGGTTTCACTACACCAGCTTCTTCCTGGGAAATCATGACAAACTTCATTTTTTAAAATAAAGTTTTATTAGTTTATATATAGAAAGAGGGAAAGGGGGAAAGGGAAAAGAAAGAATACAGAGTTATATATATGTCAAAACTGAACAACAAATAGATAGGAACTATCGGTATGGTGGGTAAGTGATGCTCTGTCTTCTTAGTGCCTTGGGGGGAGCAACAGTCGGGTGGCTTCTAGTGTCCTGGCCCCACTGCTGGACCTTCTGCTGGCACCTGGTATTTCTGGCCACTGTGTGACACAGAGTGTTGGACTAGATGGGCCTTTGGCCTGATCCAACACTGGCGTCTCTTATGTTCTTATGTTCTTACTGATTGTAAGAGAGTATGTACTCCAATCCAGTATTTATGAACCTTTTTACATGTCCACCACATGTGATAGTATGATCCAACATGATACTACATTTCCAGCACCTGTTAATTAAGTTTTTATACATTTTAGCTAATCTATCTGGGGCTAGGTGCCATCTATAGAACATTTTATACAAATTTTCTTTAAACAAACTTCAAAGACTCATCCAATTGAGGATGGGTGGTCAACCCTAAATTTCCAAAACAGAAATGATTGTCAAGGCTTTTCTTATCAGTGGCTTTTACCTGCTGAATGAATGAATGAGACTGGACTGGTTGTTTATAAGAGGACACTAACAGATTGCTGAATTTTTGGTATATAGAAAATGAGAAAATGAGATATTAATTGCAATACAAATTTAATTGTTCATACGAGTTGTATTTTTTTGCATTATATATTTATTAGGTTTTAAATATAGTAAACACATACACCATCAACATAAACATAAAGACAAACAAAAACACAAACACACATAAATTGGGAATATTTTTTGTACAGTAACACAATAGCATAGTCAAGCAGCAAAAAAGAAAGATTATACTTTCCCTCCTCCTTAATAAATAGAACATTTCACAGCTGAACACCTACTTCTATTAGAGCCACCTTTTAAGGTTTAGTGACACAAATTGATTAACTACACATTTTGCTCAAATTGATTTTACAAGTTGTTCAGATAAATTTTACAAATTGGTTTTACAAGTCACCAATCTACATTGTTCCCTCAAACCAAGGCTCTCATAACTTCTCAAACTATTAATCCTCGTTAGTTACTATTTACTATTTTCGTTACTATTCACTCCATTGGTCTATAAATTTCTTACTTTGATATATTGTTTTCCCCTACTTCATTTGTCAGTGTCCCATTATGACTAGAATAGACTTAGGTTTTTTACATTTAAATTTAGAACATAAATTATAGACCATTCAAACCATTTCATTTATCTTATTGTTTCCTGTAAATCTATAGCTTCCCTTAAAAAAAATTATTACAACTTAGCAATAAGTTGTAAATGAGTTGTAATTTTTGTCACTCTTCACGGAGTGTATATTTAATTTAGACAACTGGTCCCATGATCTCTCTGCTTTCGTCACCTGGAGGCTGGCAACTGTATGGCATGGAACTGTTGCCTACCCCACTGGGTCTCTCCCCCCAGCCTGTACCCATGTGCCCCTCTCTGCTTCAGGCCTCCGGTTTGCCCCTCCAAAGGAGAGACCTCTTCCCTGTCAGAGAGTCGCCCCTTGACATGGCCCTGACCTCTTTCGATGACCAGTACAAAGGCTGTGCGGCCATGATGGAGTCTGAGCTGGAGGAGCTGAACCGCACCGAGTTCGCCAACAACCGGGTCTACGCCGAGGCCTGGCCAGAGGCAGCCTCCAAGTGGAATGAGAGGAAAGCCTCCCTCTTGCCGCCCGGAGGCCTCGGGCCGGAGTACGCCATCGCCCTCACGGCCTACACCGTCCAAGGGCGCTTCCACCGGGATTTCAACGCAGCCGTCAGGGAAGCCGGGCGCACCAGAGACTATTACCTCAACCACTTCCCCTTCAAGGCCTTCCATTTTCTCCTGACCAGGGCCCTTCGTGCTCTGAGGACCACCTCTGAGTCCCGCTGCCACAAAGTGTACCGTGGGGTCAGAGGGTTCCGCTTCGTCTCGGAACGCCAGAAGCAGGTCCGTTTCGGACACTTCACCTCCTCCTCGCTGAAGAACGAGAGCGCCCTGCAGTTTGGGAAGGACACCTTCTTCACCATCGAGACCTGCCACGGGGTCAACATCAAGAACTTCTCCTTCTTCCCCGGCGAGGACGAAGTCCTGATCCCTCCCTTTGAGATGTTCAAGGTGGTGAACTTCACCAAAGCGCCTGATACAACCTTCATCCATCTTCTCTCCATGGAAGATTCCAGCACCTACAACTGTGCTTTTGTGAAAGGTAATACCCAGCGCCCCTCGCTCCCAGGGTCTATAGTGAAGCAGGAAGCCACACAACGACACCAGAGTCTCATAAGAACACAAGAGAGGCCCTGTTGGATCAGTCCAATGGCCCATCCAGTCCCACATTTTGTCACACAGTGACCAAAAATACCAGGTGCCATCAGGAACTCCATAAACAGATGCGATACCACAGTATGCTATATACAGAAAGCAAGCAAGCACCGTACAAATAACGCAGACCGCAAGTGCTCAAAAAGTCATGCAAAAAGAGTAAGTTTATATGACAAGAATAACAGAGGACCACGTGTATCAGCCAAACCAAATTACATCGTATAATGTACAGGTCCATGACTATCGCAAGTCCATAAATGGTACACAGACAAAATGCAAGTCCATAAATGGTGCTAAGGATTTTTCCTTCTACATATACCATTTTAAAGTCTCCTGTACATTATGAGTACTTCATGAAGGTAATTTTTGCCTCTTAGTATTTAGGATATGGGTTTGATTGTAGTATATGATATTAATAGTTTGGTTTTACTTGTAATTGTAGTAGTGTGAACTTCTTGAAGAAGAGCTATCGAAATGAAGATCAAAATCCGGAGTCTTCATCTTTTGTTTGTGTACCATTTATGGACTTGCATTTTGTCTGTATACCATTTATGGACTTGCATTAGTCATGGACCTGCTAAAACGGAGGAGCTTGAGCACCTAAGCTTCCTCCCGGCCGCCATCTTGGGGCATTTGCACTTTTCTCTCCATAAGGCCTGATGCATGTGGTCCCCTGTTATTCTTGTTATATAAATTTTCTCTTTTTGCATGACTGTTTGAGCACTTGTGGTCTGTGTTATTTGTACACTGCTTACTTGCCATCAGGAACTCCACCAGCAGGGCCAGAACTCCAGAAGCCCTCCCACTGTTGCCCGCCAGTCACCAAGAAGACAGAGCATCACTGCCCCAGACATAAGAACATAAGAGAAGCCAATGTTGGATCAGGCCAATAGCCCGTCCAGTCCAACACTCTGTGTCACACAGTGGCCAGGACCCAGGGGCCATCAGGAGCTCCACCAGCGGGGCCAGAACCCCAGGAGCCCTCCCACTGTTGCCCCTCCCAAGCACCAAAAATGTAGAGCACCCCTTGCCCCAGACATAAGAACATAAGAGAAGCAATGTTGGATCAGGCCAATGGCCCATCCAGTCCAGCACTCTGTGTCACACAGTGGCCAAAAATACCAGGTGCCATTAAGAGGTCCACCAGTGGGGCCAGGACACTAGAAGCCCTCCCACTGTTGCCCCCCCCACAAGCACCAAGAAGACAGACCATCCCTGCCCCAGACATAAGAACATCAGAGAAGCCAATGTTGGATCAGGCCAATGGCCCCACCCAGTCCAGCACTCTGTGTCACACAGTGGCCTGCTTCTTAAGGTACCTAAGATGTTCTACCACTGACCCAGAATCCCTCCCCAATACATGAAGCTGCCGTATACTGAATAAGACCCTTGGTCCAGAAAGACCAGGATTGCCCACTCAGACTGGCAGTGGCTCTCCAGGGTCTCAGGCGGAGGTCTTTCCCATCACCTACTCGCTGGTCCTTTTGACCGGAAATGCCGGGGACTGAACCTGGGACCTTGTGGATGCAAAGTAGAGGCTCTGCCACTGAGTCACAGCCCCTCCCTGTCATCAAAACTCCTTTTCCCCCTCTTTCACTGCCTAAATTTGTTACAAAGCCCAATAACTGGCACAACTGTTGATGCTGTATGTTGTTCGCCCCACTCACTCCCTTGGGGTCTGCTTCTGAAGGCACCTGAGCTTGGCTAAAGAATCTCAAAGGATTCTGGGCTCCACCTTTTGGTCTCCAGCCCAGCTCCCGGCAACTTTCCACGTATTTTCTAACTCAAATGTTCCAACTGGATGTTGAGTCATTGTGCCACGCCCGCTGCGCCAGTCCTTCCCATCTTCCACTGGCTGGTCTTAAAAGGGGAAGAAACAGGGTATGAATGGCTCACGTCTAACTGTTTCTCTGTTGCCATTTTTAGAAAGAAGGTGCAAGACCCAAAGATGCCATTTCAGTGCAGGTAAGAGAGCTCCTGGGGAAGAGAAGGCAGCTTGGCATAGCCCGATTTCGTCAGATCTCAGAAGCTAAGCAGGGTCGGATGGGGGACCCCCAAGGAAGGCTCTGCAGAGGAAGGCCATGGCCAGCCACCTCTGCTTCTCGCTTGCCTCGGACGTCCCTTGGAGAGGTCACCATAAGCAGGGGTCATTTCCTGCAGGAGCGCACAGGAGCAGAGCTCCAGCAGTAACTAGTGGTGATTGGGTTTTATTAGGGAGGTTGAAAGGGTCAAAATAAATCAATTATGCTAATATGTATTGGAATGGTAGATCTGAATATTAATTAAATGGGGTAATGAATTTACATGATTTATAGGTATTTGATAATGAACGATAGGATTAATTGGAAAACGACCTTATTTATTTATTTATTTAACTGTGATCGAAAGGGTCAAAATAAATTAAATATGTTTAATTGTATTGGAATGTTAGGATGGAATATTAATTGACTGGGGCAATGAATAGATTTACAAGTATTTGATAATGAATTTTGACTAACAACAGGAGACTGTAATGTTAAAGTGAATATAGGGGGGGTGTTTCTTCTTTTTTTGTTATAAATTGGGTAGAGAAGGTTCATTATATAAAAGGTTGTATGTTATAAAATAACAACTGGTAATTCTCTGGGGAAAAACTGTCTACAATAATGTTGGTGTTATAGAATGTGCTGTGAGTAGGAGGTGTTCTTTGATAACAAATGGTTGTGATTAGGATGGAGTTAGATTGGAGTTGGGTGGAATAAACGTGGATGAAGTCCTGGCAGTTGATAATTCAAGGATAGTGTTGCAGTCCAAAGGATAAAGAAATGTAACTAAAAAGCAGCAGAGTAAACTTGAAAGTGATTTGAGATATGAAAGTTATTTGTGACAACTTGAGTTAGGCCTGACATACCCACGACTATCTATTTTATAATTTCTCTTGGATTGTATTATTGGGAAATGCTTTTAATATTCTATGCCAATAAAAGTTATTTGAATTGAATTGAATATGAAAGTTATAACAAGATGTTAAATTAGCTTAAAGGATGTAAGATTGAGTAAAGTGTAAAAGGGTATTAAGAGAAAATGAAATAAAAATTTAATAACATGTCCCTATATTGTATATAAGGAACCAACAGGCTACAGGAGGATGGGTTTGAATGAAATCAGGAAAAGATAATTTATAATGAGCAAAAATGAAGGTTTGACATCACTGATAGGACATGAATTCTTAGTATAGTGTAGAAAAGACAGTATTAGAAGTATAAAGGTAATGGAATTGGAGGTTTCTACTTAATACTGTTATATTCAATACAGATATGATGGCAAGATCAAAGATAAGAGCAAAATGTCTTATCATATGGATAAGTGGCATGTTATTCTGTGTTGCTGTGAATGTAAAGTGATGTTGGGGGATGTTGATTGTAGTCTTGTTGTTGAAATTGTTTGTATGTGCAGTGTAGGCTAATATTGTAAAAACTCAATAAATATATTGTTTTTTTAAAAAAAGAGCCTAGGGGGCGGGCACATGCAACAAGCCCCACCCCCTGCTCCCAGCAGCCCTCAGTCAGAGCAAGAAGCAGCCAAGTAAGTTGCAGAGGCCCCCCCCCCCAGTCCATAACAGTCCAGTGGCACCTTTAAGACCAAGGTTTAAGACCAAGTTTTATTCAGGTACCAGCTCTCCCTCCTCTGCGAGGACAGATCTGCATGTTCCCCCCATAGCTAGCAATCCAAAACAATTCAGTGGAGCCTGAGCGGTGGGTGTCGCCTTCTGACACACTTCCGGCGATGTCAGGGGGTGTGGCATATGCAAATGAGTTATGCTAATGAGTTATGCTAATGAGCTCCTGCACCTCTTTTTCTACGAAATGACCCCCAGGTCCAACTTGTCAGCACTTTACAAACACGAATAGAGATTTGGGAGGGAAGGCAGCCTCGTACAGCCCAATTGCATCAGATCTTGGATGCTAAGCAGGGTCGGTACTTGGATGGAGACTACCAAGAAAGGCTCTTCAGAGGAAAGCAGTGGCAAACCACTTCTGCTTCTTGCTTGCCTTGGAAGTACCTTGATGGGGTTGCCAGAATAGGGTTATGACTTGATGCACATACATATATAAAGGAGCTTCCAATTCCAGTTTTTTGCCACTCACCTTTTTATCCCAGGGGTCATTTCGTAGAAAAAGGGGTGCAGGAGCTTATTAGCAACTCATTAGCATAACCTATTTGCATATGCCACACCCCCTGACATCAGCGGAAGTGTGTCAGAAGGCAACACCCGCCGCTCAGGCTCCACTGGACTCTTTTGGATTGCTAGCTTT